TTTTAAATATTGTTCTTTTAAGTTTTAAAATTTTTTCAATATACAATAAATCAACTGGAAATTTGGCACGAAAGGATTGCTCATAATAGGCAAGGAATCATCCCACATTTCACATTTCATCATTAATGATCCAACATAGAGTCATGGACGTAAACATTTTATGTTATACAACTTATTCTTGACCAAAAAGGAAAAAAAGTTATAAAATAGCAAGCTCAGAACTTAGCAGCTCTGTTTTATTCCTGAACAAGAAGAAGGAAGTAAACACAATAGTGATGCTTATTCTTCAATGCTCATTTTGAGAATCAGGCCGGTACAACAGGAATGACATGTGCATCCTCCAGAAGCTCGAACTTCCCATGGATAAAGTCATAGTAACCTCCCCACAATTTCAGATTTCCATCCATCACTGCCTTCCTCACATATGGATAACTCCACAGGTTTCTCACCGAGTTCTTCACCGATTCCTGCATAACATTTGAACGCATGAATTTCGTGTCTTAGCATTATCTAGTATGAACAATGAAGCCATGCTTGCGAATGATAGAGAGTTGAAGCTGGGGGGCTTGCCTTTTCACACAGTTTGCATTGTTCGTCTAGTGACAGGTTTGGGTTCTCACTCAGGACCTTTTCCTTCGCTGATAAACCAATTCTGACCCAATCATCAATGAAGTCACTGCAAAATATGAATTGAATGAGGTGAAATTAGAAAATCCTTTTATGGCTGGTTTCTAAATTTAGGACTAAATAACTAAAAAGCCTTACAATTCATTAGAACCATCCTCTGGGAGAGTCATGAGCCGTTCTATCCCACCACACTTGCTATGTCCAATAACCAGGATGTTTCTTACCTGCAATTTTTATAATTTTGCGTAAGTTTTCTTTTTGATGTAAACAATGTTCTAACATCTCAACATGAATGTAAATTCACCTCAAGACTACCAACAGCATATTCAATGACAGCACCGACTCCAGAGTATCTAATCTGTGTGACAGACAAAATAACAGTCTTAAGCTATATTATGCATC